AATCCCAATAATTTTCCTGCAGGAACCCCGGATGCACATTTTGCGGGGTTCAGTTTTAAATTGTACCTTTTTAGCCTGTCAAAGAACTTCCTTAAGTCTGCTATGTGATCTGCGACCCTCTTGGATTTGATGATGATGTCATCAACATACACCTATATTTACTTGTGTATCATATCATGGAATATGGTCGTCATGGCTCTCATGTAGGTAGCCTAACATTCTTTAGACCGAATGGCGTCATTTTGTAGCAGTACACTCCCATGGTGTAATGAAGGCTTTTTTCTCTGCGTCTTTTTCATTTTGCTCTTGGGGTGTCGTTATGGCTTCCAAGTTTGGGATGTTGAAGATGGTGATAATGTGTGCAACTTAGTTTCCAGGCATGATGGTCCTGTTTCTTTTGTGCAAGTGTTACCGAAACTAATAGCATCTAAGATTCCTGACGACAAATTTTCTGTTAGTCGCCCAATGTTGATACTTTGTGCGGATGGATCTTTTTCTGGTGGTAGTAACAGTGGGGAGGGCATAGGAACTCCTCATAATGGAACCTTCCAACATTATCATAACCAAGCAAGTGCCACTTTTCTGCCTACTGTTGTTTGGTTTTATTCCTTGAGATCTCACTCTTACGTGCATCAGTTGAAGTTCAGATCAGTTGTTCACTTGGTAAGGTGCAGCTCCCGAGTGATTGCAATCTTACAAGCAGCTCAGGTATGTGACATGATGTCCCAAAAGTTTTCTCAGGTTTTATCTGGCTAGACATAGTAAACATTGCTTTTATCAGATACACTGTTTTGATGCTNGGAGCTGCTAATGGTCATTTTCCAGATGCGGACAGTGTTGGAATGGTATAAGCTACTCTTATCAACTGTCTTTCAAAAATGTTGGTTTAAATTTTTATGAAGTCATTTTTAGGCTTTTGGGAGCTTTGCCATCATTTCCTTTCATCATCATATTAACTCTCATGCCGTGTCTACTGTTCTGTGGACATTTATGTATGTCCACACATTTTGAGCTTTGTGTTTTATTATTCTAATGGTGGTAAGCGATTACCGTTCAGTGGTGGTTTTGACCAACATTGAACTCTGATCTAACTTGTTTCATTTTGTGCGTCCGCAGGTCATAGTCAGGGACATCGTCAGCAAAGCTCTTGTTGCACAGTTTAGGGCACATAAGAGTCCCATTTCAGCTTTGTGCTTTGATCCTAGCACTACTCTTCTGGTGACAGCTTCAGTTCAAGGTCATAATATCAATGTATTTCGTATAGTGCCTGGACTATCTGGGTCTTCTTATGTCCATCTTTATACGCTGCAGCGTGGACTGACTAACGCGGTAAAGTATTCCTAAGTTGCTTTTTCTTCCTTATTGGATTTGTTTGCTTCTTGAGGCTTGAAGTCAATTATTATTTCCTTTTGAAAATCTCAGGTCATACAAGACATAAGTTTTAGTAGTGATAGCCGGTGGATTATGATAAGCTCTTCTAGAGGAACTAGCCATCTTTTTGCGATATCTCCTTCAGGGGGATCAGTTGATTTTCATACTGCTGATGCATGTTTTAGTGCTTGCACTAATGGCTCTGGGGTGATGACAAAACCTTCAGCTCCCAGGAGCATGAATTCTCAAGTGCTTAATCAACAAAGCATTTGTGGATCTGGCCCACCCGTGGCACTTTCTACTGTTGGCCGAATAAGGAGTGGAGCTAATGGTTGGAAAAATACTCTAAGTGGTGCTGCCGCTGCTGCAACTGGAAACTTTAGCTCTCTATCTGGGTCCATTGCTTCAGCGTTTCAGTACTACAAAAACTATAACCAATATACAGATGCAGCCTTTCTAAAATCAAATTATCACTTGCTGGTTTTTTCTTCTCCTGGCTGTGTGATACAATATGCTTTACGTATGTGTTCTGGCCTAGATTCTGTTATGACCATTCCTGCAGTGGCTACAACATTTGAGTCAGGCATTGAAGTTGATACAAGATTAGTCATAGATGCAATCCAGAAGTGGAATATTTTCCAGAAACAAAATCGCAAAGAGCGAGGTGGTAATATTGATATATATGGTGAAGTTGGAGATTCTGATAGCAGTAAAGTATTTCCTGAAAGCATAAAGGTGGAAAATGGTCTCTATTCCAAGACTAGGAACACAATCACAGAAGAAAAGAGAAGTTCTGATGAAAGACATCATATGTATATATCTGAAGTGGAGCTTGAAATGCATAAACCCCAGATTCCATTATGGGCAAAACCGGAGGTACTTCACTATTTGTATGGTACCTCAGTCTGTGTCAGTAAGTCTCATGCTGCCATTGTGTAATGGCTGATATCTCCTTTCTGCTTTTGTAATTGTCTTGCAGATCTATTTTCAATCATTTGTTACAGATGGGATTAACGTAGGCGATGTCTGTGCTTTTGGAGGAGAGTCTGAGATAGAAGCAATTCCAACTCACTTAGTTGAGGCGAGATCAAAAGATCTAATTCCAGTTTTTGATTATATTCAAGCTTCCAAGACCCAGCAAGGGAGGTAATTAGTGTTTCTTTCTGTTTGTGAATGTGTCATCCCTGTTATGGAAAGTTGCCCAACTATTTTGGTATGCTTGATGGTTTGTTAATCGTGTTGAAACATGCATAAGCTGAAATGTGCCTTTGGGCAGGCAATGACTATTTTGTAGGTCGTGTTAAGTCATTAGTTGTTGCACTGCTACATTTGTAATGTTTTGCCCATACTTTTCTTGTGGAATATGGTTATTTTTCTGAAGTTAGGTGCTTGTTATTAGGGCATGTGTTAACGGTGACCATAGCCAGCAGTCACTTCCTAGGCTGGAGGTCTCTGGAAACTGCAATCTTATGGCTAATGGTGGCTATGGATCGCGTCATTCTATGAATGGTCCCAGGAGCGAAGTTCACTGTGGCCAAGAAGTAACTGGTTTGGATGGTATCCCAATGACAGGTCAAACAGCTAATGGCTTTGTAAATAGTAGTGAGAGCCCTAAAGCGGACAGCCGGCTTGCTTTTGTAAATAGTATGGAGAGCTCTGTGAAGGAGACACAGTCTAAGTTTGTAAATAATAACCTAAATGGCACAGAAATGGAGAATCATTTCGAAGATGAAGTTGACGACGTTGATTGAAGGTAACTGATGTTGCTTTCTTGTTTGTTTTCATCAGCTTTATGCATGCACTTTCAAATAAATGCAGGACACATGATAATAAGATTTTCCTCAGATCATTGAAGTCGTTGCACGCTCTCCCTTCTGTAAGCTAAAATAAGTTTCTTACTTTGAATGGTGAGATGAATGAAAGCTAAAATAAGTGTCTATGAGTAGTTATCTCTGGTTCACTCTCATTTTTATGAATGAAAGTTTTCATATAATTAAAATTTCACTTTTTTTTGAATCTTGCAGTTGATTAATATTATATTGGCTTCATTATCTTGTCAGGTTTTCGTTATTCGTTGATTAAGTGGGAGGTCTCTGTAAGTGTTAATATTGGTGGGGGAAAATGTAGAGAAGGAAAAGGTATAGGTTCCTTGACCCAACGAGCAAAGTCATGTGGATGGATGCTTTGACTTTGTAAATGTTAGACTCTGAAACTTGTCCAATAAGTAGTTGTAATATGTAAAAATAATAGCTCGGATCTTATAACTTGTTGCTTTATTTGATTATTTTCGTTAATTTATATCTTTAGTTATTTGGAGACAACGTGAAAAATGAATTACCTCGTATACGCGGTCGCTGCTCCTCCAGCTTGTTAACTGCGAGCTGCTGCATGATTTTGAGTCTCGGTATTGTTTCAGTGAAATTTGTTTACAACTATTTTGTCTGTGAATGAGTTTAAGGCGAAGTACGTGATAGAAATGGCTTTTTAATAAGAACGTAGGAGTTCTTAAATTAGGAATCTTTTTTTTTGTTCCATCAATAAAATATAGGAACGTCAAATACTATAATTATCAAGTCTTTCATGCCTAAAAACCAAGATTTACTAATTTGATCATAAAACTACTTATCAATTATCATAGTTACTTATTTAGTACTGCTTAAGTCTAGAACATTGAAAATTTACTAGTATAAAAGCTGCTATTTTTCACCTTCGCTTCCATTTTTAGTAGGAACGTTATTCCTCTACATCATTGATTCAATTCACAAAAAGAGTAATATTGAACGAAAATGACAGGTGATCAACTAACGTTTCAATAACGAAAACGGTTAGATAACTCCTTTGGCTTGTTTTAAGCATTTATAAAAAAAGTTATTTTCTTCTAGAATATTAAAAATTAGTTAAAAGTTTTCATAGAAAACAGGTTTGAAAGGAGGGTATGACTTATTATACCCTTAAATGATAAAACTTAAAACTTTCATGGGAAACTGATTCGGAAAGCAATGAACTAAAAATGTAACTCAAATTGATTCACCTTTTAGGATGAGTTGGGGCAGCCCAGTGCACTAAGCTTCCGCAATGCGCAGGGTTCGGAGAATGGCCAGGTCACAAGGGTTTATCGTACGTAGCCTTACCCCGTATTTCTGCTAGAGATTATTTTCACAGCTCGAACCCTTGACCTCCTGGTCACATGACAACAACTTTACCGGTTGCGCCAATGCTTCTCTGGATGAGTTGATATTTATTTAAACCCTAGAATGAATACATGGTCCATACAACTTGCCAAATATTTTGACCCTTAAAAAACACACATTAAACTCGCCCAAGTCAAAACGGCATGCATAGATGATGTTGTTTATTGCCTGATCAGACAAAAGACATTGAATTCATTGAGCATAATTGGATCAATTAAGCAAATAATATGAACTCTAGGAAACCAAACTCAATTCACGTGGAAGAGTATTAAAGTTAATCTCCAAACTGCCCAGAAACTGGCAAAATACGAATTAGCATAGTTATCTCTGGATAACTTTACCACAAATTATTGTAATATTTACAATAATAAAAATAATCTAATGTTTCCAAAATAAGTTTAGCTCCAACAAACCAACAACTAGAGGCCTGACCCCACCAGAATTTAGATTTTGGAGTCACCCTTATGACTAAGGAAAAAAAACAAAAGGAGAAAGACAGTGGGTCATTTTCCATTTTAGAAACTCTGTTCAATCAAAAGCCTAAACTTCCACATTGTATAAATCAAGCTTCTATTCTTTAACAACTTCATGTTGGAGGCAAAGTGAAGCAACACCAAACTCTGCTACTATACTACAATTCTTTATTAGTGTTGTGTCTCTTTCCTTCAAACTACTACTACTACTACTACTACAATTCAAAAATTAATACAAACTTGGTAAAACCTGCATATGTAAACCTCCATACTAAGCAAGGTTAGGTGATTGAAAACTACTCCTTTCCTTCTCCAAGTACTTCCTTTTACAGCATCTCTCTACAGAGGTCTTCTGCATTCTACTCAACTTCTTCTCTGAGTTATTGCCTAATGAATGACTAGACTAAAAGTAACAACCTTTTGGTTATAGTCAGAGTTCAAGCACTGTGTTTTTTTTCTGCCTATTTTTGGCTTTTTGTTATTGAATGTTAAAAGCAATGCAGCTCCACATATCACCAAGTCTGAGGCATGTCACTGTTCTGCCTGCTAAAGGTTTCAAGGACTTCATTAAAGTAAAAGTTGGCTCTAAAAGATTATCGTATCGCATGGTCTTCTACTTCCTCCTGTTCCTTACATTCCTGCTCCGGTTTGTCTTCGTGTTAACAGCTATAGACACCATCGATGGAGAACGAAAATGTTCGACCCTAGGTGCATCTCTCTCTCTTTCTATAATGCTATATAGAAGATGTGAAAAATATGTTTAGGTACATTAATTAAGCAGCATTAGGAAAAGGATAATGGAGGAAATTACTTTCATGCATAATATTACATAGTATTAGCAAATACTAAGTAATATAACAGTTCAAGCAGTAATGCATAGTAAATGCATCGCGAAATATACGTGTAACTATAGGAAAGAAAACTCGCAAGTGCATACTATGTTTAGAGAGCGACGGGTGAACGCTACATTCTACGAGTTAACGGGGTTCGTAACGAAAAATTACAGTTGTAGTATATAGTTAAAATAGTTAGGTTTTAGAGTTATATATATAACATTATGTTCGGGCTACCGTTTGTACG